CTCTGCGTGAGCGCGCGCGCATGTGTGTGTAAGAGAGAGTTTAAATCACCACAACTCATGTGATTCTATATTTTTATTGCAAAGAAATGATACAGGTTCAAATCTATCATCCTATATCTATTTTTCTAATTAATTAAAATAAGTCGATTTCAAGTCGAACATGAACAAGATATGTAAATTGAGCCGCTGAACACAAATACACCGTTCAAAATCAATTTCGAACACAACCAATTTCGAACAAACCGAACACGAGCCAAACATAAGCTGGATCAAGCTCGGTTCATTTACAACCCTATATGTGATCAAATATTATAAATAAATAAAAAAGTTAATTCAATGGTAATCAAGAAGATAACATCCAATTTAAGCACAACTTAGAAAAATCCTCCAACTTGCCATAGCTAAATTTATTCAACTATCTCATTGTGAGAAACATCAAATAAAAAAACCCTTTCATTTCTATAAGCTAACACAGCATTTATAACAAAGAAAACAATGAACCACTATACAGCAACGGAACAGATTAGATATTATAAGTAAAACTTACAGCCGCAAGCGCCTTTGGTTCTAGCATCGATATCTGCACCATTGTCCAGCAACAGGTCCATAACCTTTATGTGTCCTCCTTGAGCGGCAAGATGAAGAGGAGTCTCTCCCTGAGATTTTGGGCCCCACGCACCAATATTCACATCCATTCCCTCTTCCAGAAGACATTTCACCTGCCACAAGATTACTAGAATATTAATGATTTCTTCTCCACAAATATTCCTAGTTAAGAAGTCAATCGCAGTAAAGAGAAAGAAACTATTATAAGACAGAACAAGAATATTTTATTTCACCTTAATAAATATTAAGCAAATAAATATGATTGCTTGGAATTGGCTGCAAAGCAGAATGTTTAAAATGGATGCTTTTTAAGTCGAACTCACTCTTTAAAATAAGCTTTAAGGTACAATAACATACAGACCACTGAAACTTTCCATTTACAAATCAGCCACCCTCTTTCATCGATTTCTCAAATTCTCAATCAAATATCAAAATTCATGGTAAACTCCATTTTTTTTTCATTTTAACAAATTCTCAATAGTTTGGTCGTGGCATGCATAAATGCAATGTTTCGGTAGTTCAAAAAAAAAATCACCTGGGTGATTTGTTTATAAATATCAATATTTAGGGTGGTATGTATATAATTATCCTCAACTAAAAAAACACATCTTAAATATAAAAGAGAAAGAAAAACATCTTGAAAATGAACTCTTTACAGATACAAAAACAAATGGAAGAAGACTCCTAAATAGAACTCAAAGCCAAGCACTTGATCCCGCAGACGAGGACACATCATTATTTATTTTTAAAACACATTTGATATTTCATGAGATGATGCATTTCATCAATCATTATAAATGTCTTCATCTGAATTCTCTTGAACGTTCATTACTTGTTTCTTATGAATAATTGTGGTTGACGTTGATCCTAGTTCAGCCAATGTCTTTACATTTTAAAATGTTAATTTTTTTTTTCTAGCTTGGTCATACTTGATCAACATTTACTAGCGCATCAAATGTGACAAACAAAAAATGAAACAAGCAAAACCCTTTTATATCACTAGCTCAATTTGGGAATATCAGAGACAAGTAAACGAAACAACAACAACAACAAGAAGCCTTTATCCCACTAAGTGGGGACGGCTACATGAATACTTTTTCTCCATTATGTCCTATCGAGTGTCATATTTTCATTTAATTATAATAATTTAAGATCAGTTTTTTATACAACATGCCCAAGTCTTTTTTAAGTCTGCCGCTTCATTTCTTAACATAAGTCGAATCTAAAACATCTATTCTCCTAAACGGATCATTAGATGGTCGACGTTTAATGTGGCCAACCCATCTAAGACGACTCTCTCAAATCACTCTCTCAAATATTGTCCGCCACTAAAGCCACCCAAACCATTTCATGGATATATTCATTTCACAGTCTTTTAAGAGTCAGGCCACTCATCCACCTGAGTATTCTCATCTCAACAACATTTAACTTAGTTTTATGCTTCTCCTTATATGCCAACATTCTGTGCCATAAAGCATTACACATATCACTACCATCTTATAAAACTTTCTTTAAGTGCAAGCGGTATTTTTCTATCACATAATAGTCCTGTTGCTATCGTCCACTTCAACCATCCAACTTGTCTACTAAAAACATTTTCATCTATATCACCGTCACTTTGAACAATACTCCATATATCTAAAGCGTCCTATTAATGATTTGATCATCCATTGTTACAACTCTGTCACTAGATCTACTACTTACTAAAACTGCATTCCATAGATTCAGTTTCATATCTACTCTAACAAAAGCTTTTCAACTCTAACATAGGCCACCATAATTCAAGTTTATCTTAACACTTTCTCTAGTTTCATCCACAAGAATGATAGCATCAACAAAAATCATACACGAAGTTACATCCTCTTGTAAAAGTCCAGTAAGTGCATCCATAACTAAAGCAAAAGGATATGATATATGAATTTAAAGTTGATCTCTAATGTAATCCGACAGAAATAGGAAAATATTGGCTAATACTCCTTTTGCTCGAACACAAGTAACAAACTCTAATATACACCTTTCTTTTATGATTTCAATAACATATAAGAGAGATAGCATCAACTCTAATATACATCTTTAATAACTTCAATAAATGCTATATGAACACCTTTCTTTTCTAGAACTCTCAAAAATACTTCTTTTAGAACTTTATCATAAGCTTTTTCTAAATCAATAAAAATCATATGTAGATCCTTCTTACTCTCTCTGCACTTCTCCATCAAACCTCTCAATAAATGTATAGTTTTGATGGTAGACTTGCCTGAAATAAATCCAACCTGATTATGAGAAATCTTTGTATCACTTCTTAACTTATTTTCAATTACTCTCTCCCGTAATTTTAATATATGACACATTAACTTAATTCCTCTAGAGACAAGCTAATGAAAAGAGAACAAAATCAAGCCCAAAATACTCAATTTATTACAAAATCAAGTCCAACCAAGTTTTATTTTTGCTTAATCAAAAGATAGTTCCGCACGCATCTTAAAAAAAAAATTCTAATGTATGCTAGTTAAAAAAGGGCAATATTAAATATGAGTAAAGTCCAACTCATTTGCACATAAGCAAAACCGCATCTAGAATCATTCAAGTTCATCATATGCCAATCTAAGGAACAGCAGAATCCAATACTTACACAATCAAAAACCAACATAATATGATCAATATCACAACCATCAAACTTTAACTAAGCTTAAATTTAAAAGCAAATAACCCCATTTGTTGCTGATCATAGTTCAGCCAAAAAAAAAAAAAAAAAACCAAATTCTGTCCATATTAAAACTTGCCTGTACATGCCTTTTTTCTAGCTCAAGCACGCTAAGTTTAGATGCATCGATTAAGGGTGCTTTCTTTCCTTCCAATTTGTATGGTCTGAAAAACCAAAAAAAAATTCTTCTGCAATAATTTTTGAGCCGTATGCTAAACTTGGGGTCCCATTCATGAATCTAAATGGCATAAAGAAAACTATCTCACCTCCGTATTCGACTGAAGGTGATGCAAGGATACTTAAATCATCCTTAATCTTCATAGTTTGATTTAAACATAATTCTATTGCAGTCAAATAAAAAGGGTCATCACATCGGCTGCTCTGGTAGTGCAATATTACCATGTCTCAATTCACCGTACTAACATCATATAAAGCAGGTTCCAATGAAAAGATAGCAGCATCCGGTTATTTTTTTACTTACCAAAAAGGAATGGTGCGCACAGCACGGTGACAGTGCATGGGATATTTATCAGCTCAAAATCTACCAACCAAACAGAAATTCGACTTTATATGGGGGAATGCTCTTGACTGTGTATTCTTTTGCAACAATTCATCATTTAATACATTTAAAAAACATAATTTATTCAAATGAAAGAAATGTTTTCTCAAGCAACCATCAATTTCAAGACCATTTCTGTTGGCAAAGGTGGACTAAATTGTCACCAACAAAATTTATGTCCACAATAAAATTACTTCTTAGTTAAATTAATCATAAAAAAGCACACTCTGGGCATGCACATTCATACTATACTTGGTAAAGATTGGCATAAAGAATATTTGCATAAGATCTTGGTATAATATAATGCAACTTTTCAATCCTTACAACTAAGCCTCCATTCAGTAATTTTTCTTCTGCTACTTGATAGAAACAGGCATATCAAAATTGTAACTGTTCTCTTGAATATGCAACTAGCCAACTTGAAGCCTTGTGCTCGGTTTCAAGTCAATTGTCCGATGAGGTTGGGAAAATTATCTTCCCGAACAAAGCAGTGATTTTACTTCTTAATTTCACAAAAAAATTGCATGCATTGCAAAACAAAGCCCAGGAAGCACAACTATGTAAGTTTCTGACTAAGATATTGCCGATCAGAACTCATTAATCAAAGTGATTAATGTTACAAGGTGTACTAAACCTGAAAATGTGCTTGAATAGAGACCACAATCTCAGAGTTTTCCATCAAGATGTTAATTAATATGCAAACAAGTCAAACTTCATCGTGAAGGCCATAAAAAATAAGTCATCAAGTAAAATTTACAGCAAGGAAGTAGAATGAATAACAGCTATGCATCTCTATTACAACAATCATCCTTAAATGTTTAGTGAGAACTGAGAATAATCCAGCAGCATGATGGATTCTTCAATTGGTAAAATGCATCTTACAATTCATATATAGAAATACAGACAAACAAAACAAAATAAGATTCCTCACAAAATAATTCACAAAGCAGTATTAAAACAGACGTGATTGAAACTCGGTATGAAAATGACTAAAATAAGCATAAAAAACTCTAAACTAAGTAAAGATACCTTTTTCAGGTCACCCATCCGAGCACCTATGTGTAGCAGAGTCCAGCCCCTATCATCTCTGTTCACATCATCTAGCTTAAAAGAGCGCCTGCTTGACAGTTGACGCCGAGGCAGTCCATCCCGCTCTCGCAACATAATAGGCAAAATATTCCAAATTTTCCAATTCAAAAGCGTTAAAAAACAGGGTATCAAAATCTAAAAGAAAACGCCTGTTATTATTACCCGTGCAGCAAGGAAACCCTAGAGATTTTGAGATATTTTCCACACAATTGAAAAAAACCACCTAATATCTCATAAAAAAGAACTTAGAAACAAGATGGAGATGGAGCGTTTACATGATCCAGTGATTCTTCAACAGCAAAGAATTAACGAGAAACGTAACCGATCCCAATACCGTTGGTCTCAATCGGATTCAAACCAGGGCCAAAGACACGCAGATTTCGAGGTGCAGAGATCGGAACAGCGAACGATGAGCGCATAACACAAGAATATATGATCATAATGGAATGAAACAGGAAAGGAGAGGCAATCGAAGAAGAACAAAGAGGAAACACAAAATGAAAGAAGACTGACTGATCGGAGTCACAAGAAGAGACTAACGGACGGAATTCGAGGTGGTTTCCGCTTGAGCATCGATGATTTATCACCGGCTTAGAGATAGAAACAAAAACCCTAACGTCGCCGGAATCCTTCCTGTCTAGGCTTCCTCCCACTTCCCCGCCTTCCGTTCCGATTTTCAGCAAAGCCAGACGTGGAGGGAGGAATCACGAATATATATATATATTTGTTTTATTTTGTTTTTGAAAATAGTAAAATGTTTGATATATATATATATATATATATATAAATATATATATATAATTGCTTGGGTTAAATCGGTCCAATCAGTTCGTGACAAGTCAAAACATGATAAAAAATAAAAATAAAAAATTTTAATCCATATCTCTCCCCATTGTAATTAAAAAAAATGGCATCAATATAAAAATTAAAATTTTTAGGTGCTAGATATTTAAATACATAGATCATCATGAAGTCATTTTGGAGAGACAAGTGCTGAGGTTTCTTGATCAATGAGATGGAACTCCATTCCCGTGGGTAATGCTCTTGATAGAATAACATTTCATAATAATCTCGTACAATCTATTGGTAAGATTTGGAAATTTAAGAGCTCTGTTGATCTTATTTCATTCACTGAAAGATCTTTTTTTTTTTTTTTTTTTTTTTTTATTCTATTTGAAGTTTGTCTGCTGAGTATTTTGAAATGGTTTTTCTCTAGTGGCACTTGGTTTATTGGAGGGAAAGATTTCTCTTTTAAAAAATAAACTGAAGATTTTAATCGTTTTCAGTAAGTTTTTAAGGATGTCTGCATTTCGGTCAAGTTTCTTAATCCCTTTAATTTTGTTGGTCTGAGTTTGATAATTTAAGAATTACTAGCAAGATTAACATTTTTCTAGTCAGTTAACACTGTTTCGTGTTAACATATATATATTAATGTCGAATGTTCTCTTCCTAATAGTGTTACTTTAATTATGAAGGGTCAAGAAAATTGCTATTTTTATTTTACATGAAGGAAAGTCTACTACATGCAAATCATATTCTACTTTTTCTCACTATCCTATAAATTGTCCTAAGTCTTCCTCTCAACCTACTAATGCTCTTATTCCTACTTTAAGAGGAAGAAGCACTAAGAGGAATTTTAGTTCTTATGGTTTACAAGGAAATAGAAGCAAGCCGGTTAATGCAACTTGATCATAGTTATATTGTTCTTTTTAGTCCTAATAATTCAATTGTGAGTATTACTAATAATAGGAATCCCACCCCCTCTTTTCCTGCTCAATCTCAAGTTGGAAATGAAACATTAAGTAACTTTAGCATTTCTTTGGTTTTTCTTTTTTTTTTTTTTGTTTGTTTTTTTTTTTTAAATTTTTTTGTTCAGTTTTTTGTGTCACGTTTACTTAATTGTAGCGTTATAGGACGTAATAGTGCCCCTATTATTGATTGTAAATATTTGTTAAGGAATTCTAAATTTGATCTTCTTTGCCTTATAGAAACCAAAATTTCTAATGATGTTATTAATGATCTGGTTGCTTTTAATTTTTTTTTGTCAAATGAATAGAATTGTGAAAGGTTTAGTACCATTGATCATGGTAGAATTTGGATTAAATGGAATAAAAGCACTCAATTTCTATGTTATTCATATTGATCCTCGGTTTATTCAAGGGCAACTTTTTTATTCTTCCTTTATAAATTTTTATATGTCTATCATTTATGATGATAAGTGTTGCTAATAGAAAATACTTCTAGAATTCTATTAAAACTATTAAAGATAATATGTATACACTTTGGCCCCTTCTTGAAAATTTTTATTGTATTCTTAGATTAAATGAAAAGTTTGGTGGTTGCCTGCTTTGTTTGGTGAACTTGTGAATTTTAATAATTGCATTTCTTCAGCTAGTCTTAATGAGCTTAAGAATTGTGGATGTTCTTATAGTTGGTCCAATAATCAATTAATAATCTTATAAGATGTCTTCTTAATAGAATACTATGCAATTCCTATTAGATAAATCTTTTTCCTAATTCATTTTATAAAGTTTTAAATGTCTATCTTTCTGATCATCATCTGGTTACTATTTTTTAGGAAATTCCAGTAAATTGTATTGTAGATCTATGTATAAGAATTTTTGGAGTTCATGAACTTCCAATCATATTTTAAAATTCAAATGCACTTTTGAATATCTAATATTCATTAATTCCTAGGTGAAATTTTAATATTTATGTGCGGGTAGGTTTTGAGCTTTTGTTTTTTTATTATATGCAGGTCAATTATGAGTTTTTGTTTTGTGTTTCTTTTGGATTAGTTGTTGTTCTTTGTTTGTTGTTGTTTTGTTTTAATATTTTAGCTGACTATTAGCATGTCTTATTTTTATATTGTTGTAGTTTTGTTTATTTGTGCAGTTTACTGTGGTATTCTTTCTTAATTGTTGATGGTTTTTTTATTGCTATTGTTTGTTTGGAAGTGATTTGTTATTTTACATTGATCTTTTTCTTCTTTTAATGTTTCTAGAAATATGGATTTGTTGTTTTCAAATATCCTTTTTTTCTCATCTGGACTTTCTGGAGCGATTTGACTGTTTTCAGTGATCTATAATTTCTATTTTCAGATGTCTTCTAAAGATCTTCAGTTGTTTTATTTGGTTGTACAATTCATTGTGATCTTCTTCCTCATTTAAAACTTCTGGAGTTTTTGTTATATTTTCCCTAATCACTACTCATTAGGCTCTTGGTTTTAGGTTCAATTGTCTTTTTATTTGTTTAGAGTTATGATTGGCATTGCCTTCTAATTCATTTTTTGTTGAATAAAGTTAGATGAGACCCTCATTTTTTAAAAAAAGCAGCTAAATACATGAAACTAGAATGATTTGTAAGTAAATATTATTTTAAAATATTGAGAAAATATGAAACAGCCGCAGATAAATTCAAAAATAATAAAAATATTGGTAACAGAATATTATATATTTATATGTAAATAATAAAATAATTTAATTAAAACTTATCTTTTTCTTAAAATTATTTTGGCCCAAAAAAAGAAAATATTATGAAGACTTCGTTCACAGCGGTTTCATTGTACAGAGGTAGCTGCCCCAAAAGACATTCACATTCATTATTTAACTAGGAGTCGATCTCGCATGATTGCAACTAAGCGAACCGAACAAAAGCCCATGCTCAACCCGTTTATATTTTAAGCTCAAAAAATGTGTTCGTGTTCGGTTCGCTTAGCAAGCGAGCCGAACATGAGTCTTTCACGAACAAAGAATCATTTTGACAACCCTAATCACTAGAATTGTGACAAGATTTAAAGATTGTGGCATAATTTAAAACAACATTTGAATCCAATTTAATAATTTTTATTCTATTTTCTTAATTAATACTTTTAATTGATTATAAATCTTTGTAGTCGAAAAAATATTTCTTCATGTTCGGTTCGTTCGTTAACTTAGCGAACGAGCCGAACACGAGCTATTCCCAAACAACAAGCTTTTTTGACAACCTTAATTGCAACATTTTACAGAAGTGATAGCAAAGTCAATGTGAGATTTTAATTTTAATTTAATTTTTATTAAAACTATCATGGATATTACATACATGTGTATTTACATATCAATCATATAAACATTGCATTTCATATTTATACAACCCAAATCCTCTATATCATTATAAAAATATATATATATATATCACTATTTTAACTTCAGAAAAAATAACATACCAATTTTCGTGCATGGGAAAGTCTACATGTATATAAAAATTGAACTTGACGTGTTAGATATAAAGATACAGAAGAATTGAGGGCTATGTATGTAGGTAAATTTTCAATTATCTTTGGTTTTTATGAAGAAAAGTTGGATAACTATTTTGATATTGTTGGAAAAAATAGCTTCCCAATACAAATTTTTATAAAATAATTGACAAATCTTCTAAAAAAAAAATTGATTGAAGGAGCTGAGGGTTAAAAAAGAAGACAGCCACAATAATCTCTCTCCCTGATTGAAAGGTGAAAATATTACGTCTGGTAAATTAGACATGCAGTTAACGGCATCGATCAATCTCACCACGCCGCCGGACGCACGGCATGATGCGATCCGCACCGCCGTCCGCACGTCTGGACGACAGACTTAATATTTTCTCAGCTGAAAGGGTGTGAAAAGAATCACATGAAGTTGTTAGACTACTTAATATGGACAATCACAACAATCATCTTTCCCAAGCGGTAATTGCCTGCAGAGAGCATTTTATATTTATATCCGTTTTGGTTGGATTCAAGATAAATCAGTCACAGTAAAAGCAGAAAGAACAACATTAATTTTACATTGAAATTTAAGAAAAAAACACAGCAATAATGTCACCTGATTGGCCAGCCCCCATTATAAACATTATTTTTAGAATAAACATTATTTTTAGACAGATTCTGCACTTAGAACCAGGATGGTGTATCATGATTCTAACTCGCTGGGAACCTTATCCTTCGGATGTTTTGATGCATAGTGATCCACTAGTTGTTTGCTATTTGCAAGTTGAACCTGAGATTAAAAAAAATGTGTTTAGTTTGCTCAGCCATTTGGACAGAAAATCATGAACACTGGGTATATATTCAATTAAATGATTCAGAGAATCAGAGCCGATTGATTGAATTCAGTGCAGATAATCGGAATTAAAGGAACTAAAGCTATAGAAAAAGGTAAAAATAAAAATAACAATTTACATTATACGTATTAACATATCCAAAAGCTTATGTTTAATATACTTAGATTTAAAACACTTGCGCATGAAAGGAGTATTTCACTTTTAAAAAGCTAACAGTAATACTTTTAATTTGATGCAAAGAAATTGACCGTTAAGTTTATGTAAATATGAGAGGTTTAGGTGTTAAGATCAATAAATGTATAAGAATTGTGCGGTAATGTATGTAAATGCCGCAAAATAAGAACTATTTTGCTGCATAAAATTAATTGTAACTGATGAAAGAAAGGAAAGAAAGCAAGAATAAAATAAAATAAAATAACCAACTAGAATTTTTAGCTCAATAACATGATGTCTATAATGAAATTCCTAGTCGTGCAAATGTTCCTCCATCAATTGTCAAGGCAACATAGGTTTAGTGCATGATGTTTGATGAATATTAAGAAATATGCTATTTTGGATTAAATACACATAAACAGCTGAAAAAAAAATGATGTAACAATATAACAAATGTTCAT